CGTCCTGGGATGTCCCGACCGCTCTGGCTGGCTGAGATAAGGTGCTGGGGGAAACTCGCTTCCCCTCTGGCCACGCACCCGTTCGAAGGCACTCATCCCCAAAACAGGCGCCCTCAGGGCTCTGCCCTGCCGGGAGCCGAGCCGCTCTGGCCGCGGGCAGCCCGTGCGCTCAGCCCGGCGCTGGCCGCAGCACCGCGCCACTAATTGCCGGCTGCCGCTACGTATAATCGATGCGATGCTGCTCCCCATCGTGGCCGCCAGCCGTGGGGAGGCTCAACAAACACCTGCGCCCGGGCTACGGGCGGCCTCGGCCGTGAACCGGGAGGGGGCTGGCCCTGCCCCGGTCCCGCCGCGGGGCTCGCCCGGGAGCGGGGCCGCCGGGGCGGAGGAGGAGCGGGACCGGCGCGGGGTCGGGCCCTGCCGGCGGTCGCTGTCCGTGGTGCTGAAGTCGGGCAGGGCCTCATTCGTTCCCCGCTGGCGGGGAAGGAGAGGCCGGAGCCAGCCCGGGCGGCGGCGCGGGGCCCCCGCTCACAGCGCTGTCCGGAGCCGCCGCCTCCCGGCCCGGGGAGCCGCTGCCCGGTGCGGGCGGGGTGCCGGGGCCGGTGGGGCCGCTCCCGCCCGCCGGCGGTCAGTAGATGGCGCAGGACCCCCGGGAACCGAGGGGCGACGAGCGAGGGCTGTGGACGGCGCGACGGCCCCGGCCGGTCGGGGAGGGCATCGCGCCGCAGCCCGGCTGCGTGACCCCGGGGCGGCCCCGGCGGCACCCACGGCCGGGAGCGGCCCTGTTTTGAGGCTTTCGATCCAAACGGCAGCGAGGGTGGGAGCGGGGCACGGCCCCCGGGTGCCGCCCCGCCACGCGGCGGGTAATTAAAACAAACAAACAACCGAGCGAATGCACGCACGAACAGGCAGGGGCCGAGCCGGGCTGCGGGGGCGGGGGCTCTGCCAGGACGGGCGCGGGGAGGGCCCGGCCCAGTGCGGAGGAACGCGGCTCGCCCGGCCCCGCTCCTCCTCCTCCCGCTGGGCAAACATTAACGAAGGGCAAACGCGGCTGTAAATCAATCCCGCCGAAGGACGCGGCAGGCAAACAAGTGCGCCCCAGCGCTCCCCCGCCTGCGCACCGGGCGCTGCGGTGGCGGGCACGACTGCTCCGGCGGCTCTCCCACCCTCCGATCCCTCCGGGACGGGGCCCCTTGTCTCGGCCCAAGCAGCGCACCGGCAGCGCCGGAGCGACAGCTGTCACGGCCCAAGGTCCGCCGAGCCAGGCCCGGGCCGTCCCGGGTCGGCAGGAGGGTCGGGAGGAGAAAGGCCTCTCCCCCGAGCCCGGTCCCCGCTCGGAGTGTCGCCGGTGAAGGCCCCGGTCGATGTCCCCCGCCTCCCTGATGCAAATGCCTTCATGCAAAGTGCCCGCAGGGTAAATATTAAACAGCCCCTAATGAGGCCACCGGGGCGGGGGTGGCCCCGACCTTCCCGGCGCGCTCGGGGGAGGCGGCGGGCGAGAGGTGCAAACGGCGTCATTAGATTTCATATTTAATGTGGAAAACGTTCTGATTACTCCATCGATTTCTTTACAGTTAATTTGGCGAGAATTTCTCGCCGGCCTCCCAAGGCTTCAGCTTAGCCGGGATTCACATTAGGAGGGAGAAAGGATAAGAGGAGGGGAGGAAAAGAGATGCAGCTATGAAAAATACCGCTCAGGTCTCAGGCAAACATGGAGCAGCATTGGAGGGACGGGCCTGCCGCCTCCTGAGAGCCGCGGGCGAGCTCGGGTTCCCACAGGGCGCCTTTCGCTGCTGACACCCGCTCGGGGAACCCCCGCGGAGGGGCTCTTCGGGACGAGCTCGCTCAGAGGGGGCACATCGGCAAAGAACGCCTCCGGCAGCAGATCCTAAGGACCCTTGGGCACCCTTACACACCCCTGGTGCGTTCGCAAAATGTGTCTTCGGTGAATTTTCCCTGGCCGCTACCCTTCCTCCCGATCGGCGGGGCCGTGCGAGGCCGGCGGGCAGTCGCAGTTCCAACAATGAATGGCTCGAAGCAGATTATTTTTTACTGAACAAGACAAAGTCGGGATTTTTTTTTTCTTTCTTTATCCCCTCCCGTTTCCTCTCTCTCACACACACGGGTTAAAAAAAAACCAAACCCGAAACCAAAACAAAACCCTGAAATAAATTCAGCCTGAAATCCCGGCAGGCTGCAGAAGGGATGTACTTTTTCTTTTAATTGTATTTATTTTCTCGGCATCCCTTCACAGACCTTCCAAATGTCAATGAAGGCGAGGGGGAGGGAGGGAAGATTAACAGAGAGACAGTCAAATAGATAAATATTCAGTGATAGAGAGGAGAGAGAGAGTGGGACAGACAAAGGAAAAAAGAACAGAGAAGAGAAGGGAGATGGGATGAATAAGATGGAGGCTGGAAGAGGTCAGCTTTGCAATTAGCAGTTCTGCTTACATTTCAAGAGACAGCCCAGGAAGTGTCAAGACCTCAATCCTGCTTCCATGTAACTACCAATTTTTCTTCTATTTGTCGGAGCTTCTGTAATCTGGGAGGTAGGAATCCCCCAGGGACGGCTGGAAGGGGCAAATACTCAAGATAAAGTGCAAGGCGAGACCGCGAGGCCTAAAATAAGCAGGCTCCATCCCCCTCACTGCCTCCCGGTTGTTGTCTGCAGGAAATCGGAAAAGGAAGAAATGAAGGCGGCTCTGGGTATTTATCTACCTGATAATTCTCTAAACGCCCGGGAGTGAGTTATAATTTGGACGTGAAATTTAATTTGCGTCGGCTGCAGTAATTTATGTTATTTTGAATTGATGTTCATACATCAATATCAATCGGGGCAGATTTTTACCACTTAGTAAGATCATCACACATTTAAAACCTGCACAAAATAAAATCGATACTTTCTGCATTTACCGCCGGTGGCTGGCAGCGCGGCGCGGAGGGGCGCGGAAGGAGGCGCAGGCTGCGCGGGGCGGAGCGGGGGCCCCGGGACCGCCCCACTGCCAGGGACGCAGCGCTATGCAAATGGCCACGTGCTGCCGGAGCCCAGGTGGGCAGCGCCCGGCGAGGCCCGGAGCCCCCGGTACGCGAGGGACGCCCGGGTGCAGGCGGCACATCCCGACCCCCCCCGTGCTGCGAGGCCCCCTTCGCCCCGGGGAAGCTGCTTCTGTAAGGTGCCAGCTTTGGGGCTTCATCGGAAAGGGAAGGCGGAATAATGAGGCTTTGTCTCTCTAACGGGATTACCGGGATCCGTTTATGAGAGGGCAGAGCTGAGGTGGCTGGAAGCAGGGGCGGTTTGGGAGCAGAAGCGAACAATGGGACCCTCCGGAGCCGGCAGCTGGGCAGAACACGGCCGCCTCCCTCCCTCCCTCCCTCCCGGCCTGCAGCCGCCGGGGCTGGCAGAGCTTCCCGGCAGGCAGCGCCAGGGAAGGGATGCCAGCAGGCTCCGAATCGAGGGGCTGTTTCCAGTATCGATCTATGCAAATGAGCGGAGAGTCAGGTCGACCAAATTGTCGTAAAAATCCGCTCCAAATCGAAGAAAGTTCGCCTTAGCAATCGTTACGGGGATATTGGAAACACAAACTCCATCCTCCTCTCCCGAGTAGCACCAGCAAGACGAGGGTTTTTCGCTGCTGGGGTGGCTGCTGAGACAGGGAAGGTGGAAAGCGCAGTTTCTGAGAGCTCAGACCTTTGAAACTGACTCCGCAGGAGTGGAAGGCAAAGAGAGCAACGTCCTCCCACCGGCGGGCACCTAAAGGCCAGCTACAGCTGGGAGGGAGGCCCTGCCCCGGACCCTTCCTAGTTCTGCTGTAGGTTTCTGGAACAAGGTGGTTGACTGAAAATAGGCACGGAACACGGTGGCTGCCCAGCTGCGTCCCTGCACACCCTGAAACGGCCGCAAGTTCTCACCGCCGCGGTACTCCAAAGCTCAAGAGCAGTTGTGCTTTTGAAAGGAGAAAGATTTGGCCCTTCCCTTATTTTTGTCTGTGAAACGGATCAGTGACCCCGGCTCCAACTCGGATTGACTGTCTTGCGATCTCCAGGGACAAATTAATGGAGACCTATCACTTAATTAACAAACCCTCGCTCACGGTATATTAAAGCCGGTCTCTGCACCGGGAGCGCAGACGGGAGGGTTTGGGGAGGCGGCGGCAGAGCACGGGTACGGACCGGGACAGGACGGCCATCTCTGAGCAGACAATACGGGACCCGCTCGGAGCACACCGGGCAGCGAGCACCCAAAGCGGGGTGACGCTCTGGAGCAGCGAAGCCACGACACGGACGGTTTGTCACACGCAGAGACATCCACGCGAAACTCAAACTCTGCGGCCTAATCATAACTACAACCAGTTAAAAAAATAATAATTAAGAAACCCAACGATTTTAGCCAACAGCATTTCTGAGCCACCGCTCACCGGCCGGGCTCGGCTCACTCGCGCCGAGCGCCTGTCCCAGCTCACCCAGCCCAAGCGGGACGCTGGCCCCGAGCCCCGCCGCGACCTGAGCCCACCGCCCCCGACACAAAGCAGTCGCACCGATTCCTCTCGGCTGCGCATTACCGGGGCTCCCCCGTACCCCGTCCCTGGGCCCGGTAGGGCCCGGTTCAGCGACCAATTCAAGCGTTTCTGCCTCGCCCCCCGCGCTCCGGGCAGGGCTGCCGCCGGCCGGTGCCGCTTTCGGCGGCGTCCCGTTACCGGGCGCGCTGGGCGTCGTTGTGCCGGCGGCAGGAGAGCCTGGAGGGTGCGCCCCGGCCGGGAACGGGGAGAGCCGGGGCGCCGCACTGCGCAGCCCGAGCCCCGGCTCGGCTTTGTCTGAGTGCGGCGCAGAGGAACCGGACGGTGCCGGTGCGCCGAGCCGGGAGAGGGGAAGGGAGAGAAATGGAGCGGCGGAGCGGGGGATCGGTGCTGCTCTTCAGGGACAGGCAGGGACCGGGGCGGCCTGCCCAGGCCCGAGGCCCCGCTCTGCCGCTGCCGTGCCCCGACCCCGCAGCGGGCTCACCTGCAAGCCGCAGAGCAGACATCCGCTGAAACTCCGGCTCCTGGAGCCACTTCCACATTCTGCGGAAGGTCTCCCGGCCGGATTTGAGCTTGCTCCAGGGCTTGGGGTTCCTCAGCAGGTCTGAGAGCGTCCCTTGAGAGCGGCACAGCACCCTCTGAGCGAAGATAGCCTGGGGGATGCTGTACCGCTTGAGCTCGGTGGTGATCCTCTGAGCTACTTCTTTGGTATTGATTTCTTCCATTTGCCCTGAATTACTTCCACTGTTGACCTGCGAACCAGTTACAGAAGGGTTTTGCTCCCTGGCAGAGCCCAGGATTTGCCCGTGGCTCTGGGCATTCAAGTGGGCATGGGGGTGGTGTGGGATCCCGTTGATAGGCACCATGCCAGCAGAGGTGGGGGTGAGGTGTTGGTCGCCATGCCTGGCTAACATGGCAGGGTGGTGGGCTTCAAATCCGTTTGGGGTGAGCATTTTCTCGGCGGGCATGGTGGCACCGGGGTGAGCGTAGTGGGGCAGCCCTTGCTGGGAGTTGTGGATGCTCCCCAGGCCCGATCCAGACAACGGAGAGAGGCTCTGTCCCATGCCGGTAACATCCTTGTGGTAGGGGGTGTAGAGATTGTTCATAGACGCCAGACCCCTCTCGTCCCGCATGAGCGTGAAGCTGCCGCTCACGTTGCCCGGTATCCGCTGGTGGGGATGGTGATGGTGGTGATGATGGTGGTGGTGGTGAGGGAACTTGTCCGAGACCGTCGAGATGGGAGGTAGAGGCTGAAGAGGGGTTAACGTGGTGTAGGTGCTGCTCATGCTCATGCCGGGGGGTGTCTCGCAGGCCATGGTCATGGTGGGGTGCAGGGGGCCGGTCAGAGCGTGCTCGGGCGGCCGGTGGTGGTGGTGGTAGTCGCCGCCGTCGAGGATGGACGCCATGCCCATGGAGCGCGGGTGGGCCGGCAGGTGGCTGCCGCGGTGGGCCACCGCGCTCCGGTGGTGGGGGCTGCCGCTCATCAGGTCGGCGGCGGCGGGGACCGGCTCATGGCTCACCCCGTGCAGATCGCCGATGTTCTCCATCGCCAGCTGCGCGTTCATCGTCGGCCGTGCGGGCGGCGGGACCGCACATCTATCTGGTGGGCGGTGGGGCGTCCTGGAGCTCTTGGCGGCGGCCGGTTGCTCCCGCGGGCCGGCGGCGGCGGGCGAGCGCTGTTGGCTGGTGGTGGCGGTGCTGCTGCTGCTGTTGCCGGGCTGCTGGCTTTCCCCGTTTTGGTTGGCTTTTTTTTTTTTTTTTTTTTTTTCTTTTAATTTTTATTTTGTGGCAATGTATTTATTTTTTTTTGTTTTTTCCCCGCTGCTGGCTGGCGCCGCCGGGCCGGTCCTAGGGCCGCCGCTCCCTCAGGCCGGGCCCCGCAGCCGCGGCCGCGGCGGGTGTGTGGTCGCGTCCCTCGCCATCCCCAGCCATGGCTCTCTCTGCGCCCCGCGCTCCGACACCGCTCCGTGCTGCAGCGCCGCCGCCGCCCGCACCGCGCATGCGCGCGGCGCCCCCTCCCGCTCCGCCCCGCCCCGTGACGTCACCGCCCCTATTAAGCGGGAGAGCCGCGCGCGGCGGCGCCCAGAGGCGGCGGTGCCGCTGCCCCGGCACAAAGGGGCGCTCCGCCCCGCCGAGCAGGGACATCCGCCCCGCCCCTTCGGTGACTCCGCGTTTTCCGTGAGCGCGGAGCCTCCTCACCTCACCGGGAGCTTCCGGAGGTGACACCGGACCGCCCTGCCCCGGGGCCCCCTCGGGCCGTGCCCTTTGTGTCCCCCGCACTCCCCGCCGTATCCGCCCACACTGTTTCGCAGCCGCCTGCCCCGGTATCGCTCCTCTCAGGTGCCCTACGGGGAAACTTCCCGCTGCCCGGCCTGGGGATGGGCGGTGGGAGCCCCACGGCGCTGCGTCCCGGGGTCAACCCTGCGGCTCGGCTCCCGCGCCCCCCCCACCACTCGCAGAGGTCCCGCGGGGGTCCGGCCGGGCGGTGCGATGGGCAGGGACGCTCCCCGGCAGCCCCCGCCCGGGACCCCGGGCGTGCCCGGCAGTGCAAGGCGAGCATATGTCCCGAGGCGCCCAGCAGCCGGATATGCCGCTGGTTTTCTTTTATTTTTTCTTCAAAAAGAAAGAAAAGGAGGCGGAGGAGAAAGAACAAGCGAGCTCACCCGCCGGCCCCCCTCGTTAGCTAAGGTGCCTTTATGCTGGAAGAAAGGGCAGATGTGCCTATTGTTCGCCCATTAACAATAACGAACCACGCCGGGCAGAGTGCAGCGTGTGCGCGGCGCCGAGCGGCGGGAGGGACGGGCCGAGCCGAGCCGAGCCGCGGGAGAGCCGCGGGGCCGCAGCCGGGCGGCACCGGGCCGGTGGCGCACAAAGGCCGCCGCCGCTTCCCCCCGCTCTGCTGTCGGGGACCGCGGTTGCTCTCGGCACCCTGCGGAGCCGCCTGTCCCCATCGCCCCGGCTAGGTCCGGGGACAGCGAGCGGATCTCTGCCGGGTTTGGGCTCAGGCTGGGACCCCGGTGTCTTTTCCATGGAGGGGGGAGAGGACTCGAGCACCTGTCCTGGCAGAGCCCGCAGCGGCGGCACGCAGAGCGAGGCCAAGCCGCTTCGTCCCGCGGGACGCGTGCCGGGGTCCGTGCCGGGGGCGTTGTCACCCTCCCTGCTTTCCGCTGAAAGCCCCAAGGCCCCTTCCCCGGTAAGAGGCGGGAGTCGCTGCCAGCGGCCCCACGGGGAGCTGTAGGGACAGAGTCATGAGCCGGTCCTAGGAGAGAGTCCCCCTGGGACCGAGTTGAAATCAACCCCTGGGGTTACTTTTCTCGGAGCTGTTGTCCCAACTTAACGGACCAGGCCAGCGGAGATCCCCCTCGGTGCGAGGGCACGGCTCGGGACCCCGTGGGGTCTCGCTGTCCTCCGGTTCATCGAGGCAGCGAGGCCCCTCGCCCCGCGCTTTGAGCCCAAAGTACGGCAGCAGCGGCCGAGCCAGGGCAGCGGCGGGGTCTTGGCGAGGAGCCCCATCGCCGGAGCCAGGCCTGGTCCAGCTCCTGCCCTGCTGCCCGTCCACAACACCCGCGGAGCCAGGTGTGGCCCGGCCGCGGGGTGCGGTGTGGGGACCGTGCCCCACACCGGAGCGTCTGGCCCGTCTTCCCGCAGCCCGCCCCGCAGCCAGACTCGCAGGTGAGCGGGAGCCTCACGCTGCCTCTCGGTCAGGCACCGCCGCACTCGTGGGGCGCTCCCGGGGCGCCGTGCCCGGGGAGCCCGGAATGGGGGCTGCTGGCCGGGAGCAGCCCCGTGCGTGGCTGCGTGTGCACGGCCTGAGTGTGCCCGCGCTCGGGGAGCTCAAAAATCACCAGGAGCCGGGAGGCTCGCAGGAAACTTTTAGAATCACAACCATCGTCGGTGTGTGTGGCGCGTGTATGGCCCTGGAAGATAGTATACTTTTTCGCCTCTATAAATTCAGAATTTCCACAGCGGTTTTATGCATTTCCCGAAATTAACACACACACACTTTTAAGAATTCTGAGCTATTGAACCCCGTCTCTGAAAGAAATCAATTGCTCACTGCCGTTCATTTTCCCTGGGTGCAAGGAGCTTCCCCGTATTTTATTTTGTGCTTAAAAAAATCACACATACACATCCCCCACTGTTCTTACCGCCCCAGCCACCCTCAATCCCAAACGCTTCCACAACTCTCTAAATTTTTGTAGCGTTAACGCTGACAGTATCTCCATTTCTGATAGCGAGGAATATATAAAGAAAGGTATATCTGCCAAGGAACTAAAAATAAACCTGAAACCTAATCAATGACTTCAGAAAATGTTTAGGATAAAATAAAATACAATAAAATACGAAATAAAATACAATAATAAAATAATCGAGAACGTTTCGACACCGAGGTGAACAGCTGTGATTGTTTCCCAAGCCGACGCAAGGTGATGTCACAGATCTAATCGAAACATTGTCAGTTTCTTCATTATCAATATCTGTACACAATTTACAGTTTAATTAAAAATATTTAATCTCCGTGTATTTAGCGATTAGTTATCAAAGCAAACGTCATAGCGAATATGTTACACCCTCGAGTTTGTAGGAAATTGCAACATCAAATTTTACTTCAAGAAAGAAAAATTCTTTCGAAGTCGAGTATAAACCCGACCGCAAATAATTTGGAGAGTCCTGTGACACGCCGGCCTCCGTCGAGGTTCAATCTCTAACCTTAGAAAAGAGTGGGCGTATAAATGCACCAGCTCCCCCCAGCCCTACAAGCATTTTTTATTTTTAAAATATTTTTTCCGTTACTCTGGGGGTGATCCAATGGCGAAGAGGCTCTGATGCGCAAAAGCCGCCGGCGAGGAGAACAGAGCAGGACCTTGGGCCCGACCACCCCGGTCCCGTCTCAGGTGCAGGGTGCCCCGGGACCCCGGGATGAGCTCGCAGGAGCCCGGGAAAGGCAAGACGAGGCCGGCACACCTCCCCGCAGCCTTCGTTCTCAGCCTTCGGGGGTGCCCGTGCGTGGGCTCCCCTCGTCGCGGAGCCTGGCACGGTTCCCCCGCGGAGCTTCCCGCCCCACTGGCGAAGGGCGAGAGCCGGAGAGAGCTCATTTCGGTGCGCTAATCAATTACTGCTTGTGCAGTCAAGTACCATATATTTAACAGAATAATCGTTACCGCCCTTAAGTCTTTATTTGATCAGCAGATACTCGGAGCGGACTTAAAACGCAACTTTGCTTGTTTGAATTGCGTGGCGTGTGTGTGCTTTCTAAATCCGAGCTAATGACACCATGAAACGGCCGTAATCTCCCGCCTGACGCCGGCAAACACCGCGCGGGCACCGGGGCCCGCCCGACGGGGCGGCCCGGCTCGGGGCAGCGATCGCAGCGCGCTGCAACCCACCGGACAGAGCTGGCTTGCTTTCTTTTTTTTTCCTTCTTTTTTTTTTTTTTTTTTTTTTTT